CTTCTGGAGTTATTCCAAACTGGGGATTTATGCAAAACAACAAAATATGTAAGGAACAAAATTTTTGGACTTGATCTCTTCTATCCTGGTTTCCAGTGGGTAGTAAACTCCTATGTCTTCCACAAGGACACTGTTCAAACATCTTTTTTTAATGGGTTTCTACTTGTAGGTCTATATATATTGCTGATGCAGCCAAATCTCTAAGACAGTGGTTCTCAAACTTTAGAGGGTATCAGAATATCAGAATCACCTGGTGAGCTTACTGACACATTGATTACTGGTGTCTACCACAATATTCCTGCTTTAGTTAGTTCAGGGAGTCAGCAGTAATTTGTATTTCTAAAAAGGTCCCAGATGATAAAGGGGGCACTCTGAGAAACACTGGTATAATCACATAAATAAAATTTTAGACCTGTAGGAAGGTATTATATTTTCCAAACCTTTCATTTTGGTGAAAGTCATGCTGATACTCATTTAGGATCTTTTAAGCATTATCATCGTTGAAGCTCTCATCTAGTATTCTTAACCTAAGGCTCCGATAATCTAATGGGACCAGAGGCACATGAAGGGTATCTAATTCCTTAGAACTCCAGAGAAAATCATGAAACATCCTTTTCATTTTAGATTCACTGAAATACATTAGGAGACTCTATTAGTCAGCCTAATACTACCCAACTTATTCTTTCTAAAACATATACATACACATTCACACACAGACACACACACACACACACACACACACACACAGTCACAAAATTTAATGTAATATTGTAAATAATGGCAGGATAGAAAGATCAGAATTGTAGTCTTTCTTATACCCAGACTAATAATTCAAAGTAGAATAATAAAATATAATCAACTCAACTGCATGCACAGATGGAGAAAAATGAGATCATATAACTGGAGGGGCAAACATAAACAACAACAAACCCTAAGATGCTATATTTAAACCAGATAATAAATATTGAGGCAAAAACTGTTCAAAATATGAACAAAGATTGTCAGATTGATAAAAATAAGCCTATATATATGTAGCTTAAATATTTCTTTTATATAAGAATCTAGAAAGTTTGAGATAAAAAATGATGTGAAAAGAAATACCAAGTAAACACTAATAAAAATTGTGTAGTTACATCAATATTGGACAGACATAAACCAATACTATTAAAAAGGAGGCCACTTCAGAAACATAACATAGATTTATAACCCTGGAAGATTAATTGTGCAAACTTGTTTCCCCTAATAGCATATCCTTAAAATATATGAAGTGAAGGCTGATGAAATTATAAGAATAGAAAAATCCATAACTATAATAAAGTCTTAACAGAAATCTTTTAGAAATTAATGGTATAGGCAGATAGGAAGGACAGTGGAGATTTGGCTAACATATATAACATATCAAGATATATGCCACTAAAACCCATCAACTGAACATTAATTCATTCAAGTGGAACAATAACTGAATTAGCCACCTGCCGGCGATAAAGCAAATCTCAATAGTTTTCAAAGAAATAAAGTACTAGTTAGTGTGATCTCTACTCAAAATAAGATTATGTTAGAACAATAACGTAAGTAGAAAATAAAAATATATTCCAAAATTGAAGCATTTCTTTCAAATCATACATGGTTCAAAGATGGCATGATAAAAATTAGAAATAAATGCATATAGGGCCCCTGTGTAGCTCAGTTGGTTGAGCATCCTACTCTTGATTTCAACTCAGGTCATGATCCCAGGGTCAAAGGATCAAGCCCCATATTGGCGTCTGCACGAGCATAGAGTCTGCTTGCCATTCCCTCCCTCTCTCTGTCTCTCTCTTTCTCTTTCTCTTTTCCCCTCTGCATCTTCTCTGCTCATGCATGTGCTCTCTTTCTCTCAAAATAAAATATATTATAAAATGCATAAAATTGAAAAAAAGATAGTGTCAGAAGGAAAAATAAGATTTTCTTTTGCAGGGAATAAAAATAACAAATTTTTAATTAAACAGATTAATATTTAAAGTAATAAACAAGTGGTACCAAGGATCAATGTCATAAATTAAGAGAACAGCTCATATATTTTTAACATTGAAAATAAAATTAATTCAGTTTGACAAAAATTAGGCAATATACTTGAAAAAAGAGCTGAAATGGAACATTTTCTGGAAAAATGAAATTGTTTAAACAGATCAAAAAAGAAAATATAAACTGCTTATCTATTAAGTAAATTGAATTTATATTGAAATCTTTTCCACAAAGAAACTGAGAGCAAAGTGGTTTCAGTAGTAGGTTCTACTAAACATTTAAGAAAAAGAAATATTTGTCTTAAAAAATTCTTGGAGATTAGAAAATGAGAAAATACTCTGCATCACAAATCAGAAGGTCATCTTGACATAAATGTTACAGGCCTTTTCTACTCTTAGGCATTGAAACAAAAATCATTAACAAAATATTAATGAAGTGAATCACCAGTATGTTCAAAGATAATACACCAGCATCTAGGTGTAGAGGAATTGATATTGATTAATTAATTAATGTTCACGATGAGAACACAAGGAGGTAAATCACATGACTATTTCAAGAAATATACAAAAAGTGACTTACAAAAATCAAATCTATCAAGTTTTTCAAGCAAATTAGGAATATAATTTTTTTATTTTTTAAATTTTTAAAAAATTTTTAAATATTTTATTTATTTCTAGGAGAGAGAGAGAGAGAGACAGCATAAGCAGGGGAGGGTCAGAGAGAGAGAGGGAGTCACAGACTCTGAAACAGGCTCCAGGCTCTGAACTGGCAGTCAGCACAGAGCCCGACGCGGGGCTCGAACCCACGAACCACGAGATCATGACCTACGCGAAAGTCGGACGCTTAACCGACTAAGCCACCCAGGCGCCCCTAGTTTATTTATTTTGAGAGAGAAAGAGCACAAGCAGGGAAGGACAGAGAGAGGATCCCAAGCAGGCTTCACACTGACAGTGCAGAGAGCAAGATGGGGCTAGAACTTACCTAGAACTGTGAACTGTGAGACTGTGACCTGTGCTCAAATCAAGAGTTGGATGCTTAACTAACTGAGCCACCCAGGTGCCCCAAAATGTAAGGGTACTTTAATCATGGCAAACTATATTTAATGTTAAAATAATGATTTTTCTCTCTCTGAGACAGAAAAGTATGTTATCCATCATGATTTTTTGTTCAGCACTGTAGTGGATATACCACCTGGCTCAATAAAGCAAGAAAAACAGTTAAATGTTTTAAGAATTTAAAGGAACAACATAATTATTTTCACAGATTTTTGATAATATTACCTTAGAAAATGCAAAAGATTCTTACTTATTTTAATAAATTTTCAGCTATTTAGCAATGATGCCAGATGAAAAGTTTATATGAGTAAGCCACGCATGTGAATGCATGTGTGTATATACACATATAAATATGTATATACATATTATATTCAATGATTAAATATAACATACATATTATAATACACATGCAATTATTCTAAGAAAAATGAAAAGCCAAGTAAAACCTGTGTTTTACCAATTATAAATGCTCTATCACACTGTGGACTCATTTTGAAATTAGATCCAGTAATACTTTTTTATGAACTGTTGAAAACAATTCTGTTTTTTCTAGACTCAGCTCAACAGGTCTTCTTTAGCCCTCAAATATTACAAGTAACTTATTGCCTTCTTAGCAAAGTCAAAACATCATGGCAATAATAGGGTTCAGGTAACATGAAGAAAATTAATGTTGAAGGGCTTTAACCAGGAACTAGGACATATGAAAAATGTACATGTTCATTATATTGACAAGGAATTAAAAGTTGGGTTAAAATAATTAAATTAAAAGAAGGGGCGCCTCGGTGGCTCAGTCAGTTAAGCATCGGACTTAGGCTCAGGTCATGATCTCACGGTTCCTGGGTTCGGCATCTCAGAACCTGGAGCCTGTTTCAGATTCTGTATCTCCCTCTCTCTTTGACCCTCCCCTACTTAAGCTGTCTCTCTCTCTCTCTCTCTCTCTCAGAAATAAATAAAGAAGAAGAGGAAGAGGAAGAAGAGGAAGAGGAGGAGGAGGAGAAAGAAGAAGAAGAAGAAGAAGAAGAAGAAGAAGAAGAAGAAGAAGAAGAAGAAGAAGAAGAAGAAAAGTTTGGTTAGTTCAAAGTAGTTGTTTAAAATGATTAGCAATTCACATATGTCAAAGTACAATTATAGGTAAACTCTAATATGAGCTACAACTCATATGAATAGGCATGTTGAAAATCATTAGACCTGCTATTTAAAAAAACAACAACAGTGAAATATACAAGTCAATTGAACTCTAAATCATAAGATTTGTCAAGAGCACATTGCTTTAACCTGTTAACTTTGTGAGTAGGTGAAAAAAATGGATCAATGAAACCAAAAAATGGTGGGAGAAGGCAAGTCTAGATTCTTGGATTTTAAGCCAGACTGGAATGAATAGGCAAAATGTGGCATGTGGGTTAGTTTATCAAGAAAGATATAGGGAGAGCCAGGTTATGTGGGTAATCAGGTAGAGGCATGTCCAAGAACATAGATCTTTCATCAAAAGTTTATGTTGAACATGAAAGATCCAAAATTTCTTTGAACATGTATAAAGCTAATCATCAAAGATAGATTCCTATACTTTGATATTTTGCCAAAGGCAAAATAATAATCACATACTGAATACCCTAATATCAGTTTAAACAAATACAACAGTATGAGTGTATCTAAAGTTCTTTGAAAAACTGGGGATACTTCGGGAACATTTATTGAATATTAACATACAATTGAATATTAAGATACAAGGGCACTTACTAAAAACATCCAGTCTGGTCTGAAGTCCCATCTGCTCCAGTGACTAACACTAGTGCCTGTGGTACAATTTTACTATTTGTAGAATGGAGATAAGAATAGTCCCACCTCCTAGAGAGGTAAAGAGAACTAAATAATTTAATAAATGAAAGCACTAAGAACAATGCCTGGAGCAGAGTCAACACTCCTCAAGTGTTAGACAGAACTTACCAATGTAAAAAGAAATTGCAATGAATGTACTCCTTTTTCACTGATGTGGGAAAGCTGAAAACTATTTCATTATCTGTCAAATTGAAGATATACAATTAATTTATTTACTATTTTTGGCAATAAAATGTTTTTAATTTTAACTGATTTTTTAATGTACATGTTTTATTTCCAATTATTGTAAAAACATATCAAAGAAAATGATGTCAGTGCTGATGTTAGAAAAAAATCATCACCTTGCAATATTCAAGTTAGAAGATAAATGATTTAAATCAATCAACTTGGATTCAAAGTAATGCAGCAATGTAAGGTAATATAAAACATTAATCCATCTGTAAAAACTGTATTTTTATTAATATTAAACTTTCTTAAATAGTTTAATTCTGAATATTGCAATGCACAATACAGACATTTTTTATGCAATATACTAATTGTGTGTGTGTGCGTGCATGTGCATGTATATGCTTCAGTAAAAAATATTAACACTGAGGGTCACCTGGGTGTCTGAGCTGGTTAAACATTTGACTCTTGGTTTCTGCTCAGGTTATGATCTCACAGTTGTGAGTTTGAGCCCCACATCGCACTCTGTTGATGGTGCAGAGCCTGCTTGGGATTCTCTCTCTCTCATTCCATTTCTCTGCACCCCCCCGCCCCACCGCTTGCACACACGTTTGCTCTCTCTCAAAATAGATAAATATTAAAAAGATATTGACACTGATATGGAAACATTCTTCACTAGTATGATTTTTAAAATTTGGCTTTATTAGTTGAATCTTCAGTTTTATACCACACTAAAATAAGAGTAAGATTAAAATAAAAGAATTCATACCACTCTAATTGTAAATAAAAATATTCATATATTATGTATAAATATACATGGAAATATTTGCAAACATATCCCTAAGTTATTAAATATACACTTATTAAAGTAATAAATATTCAGTATAATAAACTCAAGAGCAAATAGAAAGAAACATATGGAAAAAATGGTTGTAATCTTACTAATCAAAGATCATTTATATTAAATTTCATTTATCTATTTTACTAAAATATATACAACATATATATCTCTATCTATAATAATTACCTGAACCAAAATATTAACAGTGCTGAAACTGAGATTCTGTGTGTATGTTTGTGTGTGTGTGTGTGGATGTGTGTTTATTTACCTTACCCAAATTAAGTTGGATTTATAAATCATGCTGGAGTATAAGGATTAAGACAACACTCAGTATGCTAGTTGGGAATTTTGAACTCAGTTCCCTTCTTCATGCTCTCCTTTATGCTAACTGTGCTTCTAGGGCTCCCATATCTGCCCTATTGAATATCAAAGTCTATGAAAATAATATTTATAATACACACATATAATACATTAAAAGTACTACGTAATTTACACTTATATTACATAAAAATACACACACACACACACCTCTACATCTTAAAGTTGTAATATTAGAGAAAGAAGAGACCAATCATGATGGAATTTTTACTTTTCTACCATCATATTTTCTTACATGACCTCAAATGTGAGTTCATGGACATTATTCTTTTTAAGGTACAGTTTTTCTAGATATTGTTTATTTATCTTTTTAAGATATTGGACAATAATTTTAGTTTCATTCAATTTCCATTCTTTATCATTTTAATTTCAGCCATATAAGTTGGTATAGGCCTACCCATTAGGAAATTATGAAAATATAATAATCATGTATGAATAATCATGTATGTATAAAAGCTTTACTATTTTAAAGCTTTCATTTTTGCGAGTGTGCTAACAGGCAGTTATGGACTGTTGAATTATGGAGAAAGGCACACAGGCTTGATGAGTAAGAGCGGAAAGACTGTCATTTCTCTAAATACACACACACACACACACACACACACACACACACGATTTAAAAAGCCTTCCTTTTCTAGAGGACCTGAGCCAAAAGCAATGCATTTCTTTAGTCAAATATAACCAGTGTTACCTATTACACAAGCTCACTTGATTTCTTTTTCTCAAAATAGAACTTAAAACTCTCTTCATATAAAAACACTGAATGATGTTTTATTTCAGTGTTAAACAGAGACCTCTGAAAATAGCATTTGCATTAAAGAAATTAATAGCACTTACATTTTAATTGTTATTATGTACAGAATCAGATTTGATTAAGGGATAATGGACTTATCATTGATCATCCAAACCATAGCAGATTTTGAGATTTATTAAATCATTTGAATTGTTAACAGATACTAACACTGTAAATAACACAAACCCAAGTGACTATTTAATCATTTAAATTGCCACAATAAACAAAACACTGCCACTCAATGCAAAGATGCTTTAATGGAGATAAAGCAATCTCTCAAAATTTTCAGTGGGCACATTTGTTTTCTAATCAGAATTATCATTATGTATCTTTAATAGTGACTTATTTTTCATTATCTCAATGATGTCATCACCCTATAATTGGGATTACAGATAAAGCTTTTTCATGATCATGAAGGACTCAGTGAACTCCTACTCTCAGTTCAATTATTGCAACAATTTTAAACCCATGTACAAGCTAATTATAAGACAGCATGAGTAGCCAGATTGAATATAAATAATATCAATGGTTCATGTTCTCACAGCAGGATTCTGTTAAACACTTACTATAAATAACCAATTTTTTAAGTGTTACCAGGAAAATGTGCTTAAAAAATGATTTCCTGTGTTATAATACTGTAAGCCAACCATTCTACATTTCTATACCATTCTGCTATATATTTTCTTCTGAATTAAAGTTTTCTCCATCTATTGTTGCAGCACTAAAGTTTATGGATATCATGTGTATTGTGCTATAAATTTAAAGAGTATTTGGGTTAGTACACATAGAGTAGCCATCAAATAGGTACCTTCAAATAGGTATGGATTCGATGATATTAAAACATATATTTAGGAGAAGTTTTAACATCTAATATGACTTCATTATAATTACAGAGTTATGATTTCAGCTTAGGTCATGATCTCATGGTTTGTGAGTTCAAGCCCCATGTCAGGCTATGTTCTGACAGCTGGAGCCTGCTTGAGATTTTCTCTCTCCCTCCATCTCTCTGTCCTTACCCCACTTGTGCTTGTGCATCCTCAATCTCTCTCAAAATCAAAATCAATAAACATTAAAAAATATAATAAAATTCTAAATTACAGCAACATGATGCTGTAGAAAAAGATGACTGTGAGCCAAGAAATGTAGACTCATTTACTGATCAGCTATATTATAAAAGGCAAACCACTTTATTATTTTGGTTTAGTTTTGATTTTCTATATGTGAGAATTGAGCTAAATTATATCAATAGTTAAAACTATATAGCATCAAAGCAAATTTTTGCTTATAAATTAACAAAATATCAATGAAACAAATGAAAAATAGTAAGATACATTAAAAAAGCAATAAATTCAAAGATCAATTTCCCAGAGAAGTTTCTTTTTGTCAAATAATTTAATGTTTTAAAACTTTACAGAAATTCTAAATTAACTCTAGAGAAGTAAACACATGAGAAAAGGATTTCTTTCTAAAACAATATTTGAAATTTGTATTATAATGAAAGGGAAATATTAATTTTGTATTTATATACAAAGATGCTTATAAAATTCACAGGAAAATTAAATATTTAACTGTTCTACTTTTGGCATTTCAGAAACATAATTTCATCTTTCAATCATATTTTTATCTTGCTATAGCTGATTACTTTATAGAGTTTATATTCTAAATACTTATAATTAGGTATATGACACTACAATCAAATTTCAAAAATAAATCCAATATTATTTCAATATGGGCACTGATGTGGAAAGATTGAATTTCAACATTAAAAACTGATTTAACTCAATAAAGAAAAGAGGACAGAGAGCTTTCGTTTACTAAACTTGTCTCCCGAATAACATTGCTTACTAGATGAAAGAAAGCCTAAGAGTCATGCTCCCAGTCCAGAGACAAAGATGTAGGAATCATAATACCCATCAACTTCCTTTTGTTACCTTATGCTTAGTGTGGAGCCAGGGGGGCTAGTGTTTTACTTAGTGGTCTACAGCGTCAACTCTTACCAGTCCTTGAAACACTTCTGTCACAAAAAGGCTACTCCCTACTAGTGATGGGGCAGGTGAGGTTTCTTTGGTTCTTCTTTTTTTTTTTTTTTTAAGTTTATTTATTTTGAGAGAGAGAGAGACAGAGAGAGAGAGAGAGAGAGAGAGAGACAGACTCTGTGGGCAGTGGAGGCTAGAGAGAGAGGGAATGAGAGAGAATACCAAGCAGGGTCTGTGCTGTCAGTGCAAAGCCTGACGTGGGGCTCAATCTCATGAACAGTGGGATCATGACCTGAGCTGAAACCAAGAGTTGGATGTCTAAACAACTGAGCCACCCAGGCACCCCTGGGTTCTTCTGCTCCAACTAGTTTAGTTTCCTCTGCTGATACAACACATTATCCCAAACTTAGTGGCTCAAAACAATGTACATTTTTTTAATTGCAATTCTGGAGTTTCAGACTCTAAACTTCATGTTTCTGGGCTGAAGTATGGTGCCATGGGGCTGGCTCTTTCTGGAGTCTTTCACGAAGAATTCACTTGCTTGTGTTTGCTAGAATCTCAAGACATCTCCATTCCTTGGCTTGTAGGTCTTTCATTGGCTCTACTCCTATCAAAATACCTTCTGTTCTGCTCAACCCTCCTGACTCCAGACTTTTGCCATTACATTGGACTCACTGGAATAATCCAGAATAATCTTGGCATCAAAAGATGCTTACTAATCACATAGGCAAGGTCTGTTTTCCCAGTATGATATTCACAGATTCCTGGAATTAGGCTGTGGATATCTTTGTGGGGCTATTGTTCAGTTTACCACAAAATTCAATCTAAATTTTTTTTAATGTTTATTTATTTTTGAGAAAAAGAGACAAAGCATGAGCGAGAGAGGGGCAGAGAGAGAGAGAGGGAGACACAGAATCCAAACCAGGCTCTAAGCTCTGAGCTGTTAACACAGGGCCTAATGCAGGTCTTAAACTCATGAATGGCGAGATCATGACCTGAGCTGAAGTCGGATGGCCAACCGACTGAAC